AAAAGTAGGAACTACATAAATAATCGGTCTCATTACTTCCCTTAAAAGAATTTTAGGTCTGACATATACATTCTAAACAACAAATATGTCCAACACCTAAATGAGGGTTAGGAGCTCTTGGTGATGCTACATTTTCAGAATTCTTTACTAATTCTCATTAGTGGTACCTGAGTGGCTCAGTCGGTTCAGTGTCTGACTTTGGTTCAGGTCATGATCTCACAGTTAGTTTGAGCCCCGTGTCGGGCTTTGTGCTGACAGCTCAGAGTCTGCAGCCTGCTTCAGATTCTGTGTCTCCCTCTCTCCCTGCCCCTTCCCTGCTGGCTCACTCGATCTCTCTCTCAAAAATAAATAGACATTAAAAATTAAAAAAAAAAAAACACCCTCATTAATCATCTGTACTTTATCCAATGCGCAGATGAAAATCTCATCTCACCTCACAAGTTCCTGGGCTACTTTAAGTTTTCAGGAATAGAACAATTTATTTCCCTTTCCTAAAATCATCTTCGGGGTGGCTCAGTCAGTTAAGGGTCTGACTTAGGCTAGGCCATGACCTCACGATTTGTGAGTTCGAGCCTTGTGACAGGCTCTGACAGCTCAGAGCCTGGAGACTGCTTCGGATTCTGTGTCTCCCTCTCCCTGCCCCTCCCCCGCTCGTTCTCGTTCTCTCTCTCTCTCTCTCTCTCTCTCTCCCCCCCCCCAAAAATAAACATTCAAAAAATAATCATCTTCAGTTCCAAATCAAAGTTCTTAAATTCCTGACAATAATATCCCTAACACACAAACACTTAGTACAGCTTTAAGCAAATGGAAAAAATGCATTGGCTACAAAACCAGTCATGCAAATTAAGAGCCTATGCAGTAGTTATCTCAATATTTGGCAAGATGTGTAGACTGAATCCCAGCTGGCTGGCAAGGAAAGTGTGCCAAGTGGAAATATAAGTCTTTGCATACTTTATTCTAGAGTCCAGATTAAAAACCTGTAGCAGAAAGCACAAAGATGGAATATGGAAGTAACCTCATATAAAAGGCAAGAGAAACCTTTCATCCTTAATGCACACAGCCCTGGATACCACACTTTACAGAATATTCCAAGATCTCTTAAAAGGACAAAACTTTAGGTACTGCTAACAGTCATTTTTAAGTGGTAAAGCTGTTTGAGAACTCAACTGAAAAGCAATTACAACTAAAGTATTTGCACATAAAATAAAAAGTCCTGAATCTGCATTAAAATAATCCAGGGATTAGAGGATAGGAAGTGGAAAGAGTAGTGTGTAGAGTAGATAAAATAAGGTTTGCCATATATTGACAACTATTGAAGCTGATATAAGTTTTTTATTTTTTAAATCAAGAGTTAGGACATTAAAAAAAATTTTTTTTATCTCTATTTTTGCGGGGGGGTGGGGAGAGACAGAGTGTCAGCAGGGAGGAACAGAGAGAGGGTGACACAGAATCCAAAGCAGGCTCCAGGCTCCAAGCTGTCAGCACAGAGCCTGATGCGGGGCTCGAACTCACGAACTGTGAGATCATGACCTGGGCCAAAGTCAGATGCTTAACCAACTGACTGAGCCACCCAGGCGCCCCAAGAGTTAGGACATTTTAGCAATTCAATCCTTCTCTGCAGTTCTCATTCACAGTTTATAATCTAGATTCTGGTTCTCATACCCATCAAAAATCTATCTGGAAAATGGCAACCATAATACATTTTATCATAACCTTATTCTGTGTTTCCTCTTCAAATGAGCCACAGTTTTTAAAAGTAATACCTGGTATAAAATATTTTACCTATAATTTTAAAAGTAGCTAAAAATTAACCACATATTCCCTGCAGAGAAAGTGATGCACTTTAAAACTTGATGCCAGGAGAAATTTTTACAGTAAATTTGAGCTTGGATAAGCCCTTTTCACCGAAATAATATAATTTTACAGGGAAAATGATCTGAAGGAGCAGGCACTTCCCACAGGAAGGATACAATGGAACTTAGCTACTACACTATGAACAAACTACAATAAAATTTCTCAAAGGCTCTTTCTTGAATAAAGTGTGTAAAAACGACCTGCAAGGGTTTTCTGAGACATTACATGTACAAGCAGTTTCATCTTAAGTCCAAAACATTATCATTCTCGAAGAATCTTTAATCCAAAAAAACCCCCTTTATCAAAAATTTAAGTTTAGTAGGGTGCCTGGGTGGCTCAAGTCGCTTAAGTATCCTTTTGGCTCAGGTCACAATCTCACGGCTTGTGTGATGGAGGCCCGCGTTGGGCTCTGTGCTCATTGGGCTCTGTGCTCACAGCGTGGAATGTGCTTGGGATTCTCTCTCTCTCTGTCCCCCCCCACCACCACCAAATAAATAAACATTAAACACAATTTTTTTTTCACAAATTTAAGTTTGGGTTTCTAAACTTCAATTACAACCAGAAGGCTTCTTTCTGAATGAGAGTAACGGCAGTAACAATATGACAGACAGTAATGCAAGAGTCTAGATATAGGGAAACGCCCAAATGTTAGAGGGGAGGGGGAATGAAAAGCAAGGTCATACCATGTAAAAATATTTCCAAAACTATAACCAACTTATAAAAACCTATAAATGGTTTTTAAGACCTCAGAACTACAACTACCATGAGAACTAAAAGCACTCCTTCAAAGTTCCCTTCTTATCCTACAGGGGGCTGCTAGGGTTGCTGCAGCTCTAGGTGGCCAAGGGAAAGGAGAAAAAAATGTTCATAGTGCTATCCCATTCCCTTTACACTAAGGATGACCTGTGAAGGAGGAAGAGGGATAAGATGTTCTTGAACATCTATCTGTATTTTAGTACCCGTTTTCTACTCATAAAACCATTACCATGCAGTTTGGATTCCTTAAGTCCACAGTATCAGCATTAGAACTACAATTTAGCTTTATCAGACTGGGAAGCTAATATCTCATTTCTACAGAAAACGGTTTCCAATTCCCACCAAACAACTTCAAATGGCAGTTTGGACATACACAGATATATATGCAATATAAGCAACTTCTATCTATGTAGATTTAATTTCCAAGTTTCTATTGTCCCTCTACCTAAACACTTTGCCTGCTAGTGATGCCCAGTTCTCCAAAAGTTAGCACTTGGGGAAGCTGTGTCTGCCTTCTTGACCAGTTTCGCCACTTCCTCAGCCTCACGTTCCTTCCTCCAGCCTATCTGCCCCCACTGTGGATTAACTATCAGAGGACAAGACAGCAGTAAGAATACTGGATAACGCAAGTGGAACAGCACTCTCATAGCCTATCACAGTGGAGGTAATGTAGTATGTGCTCAATATGTTGAAAATCAATAAATGAATATCATTCCAAATCTGCCACTAGCCAACCTCGGACAGTCACTTGACCTCTTTGAGCCTCATCTGTACAGTAAGGAGAACTGAGTTAGTTTATTTTGGTTCAACAGTCCTGTGACTTGTAATACATGCTTAGAAGCTGAATTGGGAAAGTTTTTAAGCTGTTTTTTATTTTTTTTAATGTTTACTTATTTTTGACAGAGAGAGTGAGTGCAAGCAAGGGAGGGGCAGAGACCGAGGGAGACACAGAATCTGAATCAGGCCACAGGATCCAAGCTGTCAGCACAGAGCCTGATGTGGGGCTTGAACTCACAAACTGAGAGATCATGACCTGAGCTGAAGTCAGACGCTTAACCGACTGAGCCACCCAGGAGCCCCTAAGCTGGTTTTTTTTTTAGTGAAAGATTAACCTAACCTTAAGTTTTGAACAATGTGTCAAGAGAAATGTGGGCAAAGCATAAGGACAGCCAAATCAGAATTAACCAAGAGGATCAAGGGAATGACAATAACAGCTGGCTCATCCTCTCATCCAAGGGTGAGAAAGAGTGAAAAATGTCCAGCATTTTTAGTAAAACTATGCAAGGCAAAGTCTTTTATTATATTGTTTGAGGCACTTATATTAAGCCTCGAGGACAAACTCTTCTTGAGAATTCAGTACTAGGAAAGTTTTGTCTTTACTTCCTTTCAAAATATGAGATCTATATAACCTTTCGTATCACCAAACTTTGCCAAGAAGTCGGAAACTAAGGTCTGTTTTTAACTACAGTGCCATCCTTGTCCTATTGCTAATAAAGCAAGCACACTGTCTCTCCTGCTACCTCCAAGCTTAGTTCTTTAGTGTTTCAGTTAATTGCACTTTTACCGTTTACCCGAAGTCTCAAATCCTTTACGAAGGGAGTAGAGGTAAAACGGATAAAATATGTTATTTTTCGAATGAACCCTAGATGCCAGATTTACAAATTAACACTTTAAAAATACAACTGGTTTTGTGGATTAAAATCTATTAATACAAGTTGCTACTGGCACCAGACTCCACAAATCTCAAATTGCAATGAAGTTCAATTCCTCAATGTTTCCACAATACCTCCTTAATCTTTCTAAACTAGTTTTGAAAAAAAGTCTAACACTCCTAAACCTAATCCTCATTGTAAATGCTCATCTCATTTTCATTATCGGTAACAATACAAATCTTCCCCACTAATGTAAGATATTGTGTCATCCTAACACAACAAAAAGACATGTTTCTTACTAGAAATGGAGTTGGGGAAGAAGGAAAAACTGTTCCCAAAATGCACCACAAGTAACAGTCTGGAAACATTAATATCCAAGCTGCTTAAGTAAAATTTCAACCCCCAATTGGTTTCTTTAAAGTTTTTAAGTCTCTTCTACAAATTATCTAAAGCCCCCATTAATCACAAATGCAGGAAGAAAACTCAAGCAGCAGGATATTTTAGAATTTAAAGCATTTAATAACTAAATGGCATACACAAAGTCTCCTGGCTCAGAATAAAGAAATTCAAGGGGTGCCTGGCTGGCTCTGTCAGAAGAGCATCCAACTCTTGATCTCAGGGTCATGAGTTCAAGCCCCATGAGTCAAGTTGGGTATAGAGATCACTTAAAAAAAAAAAAAAAAAAAAAAAAAAAAAAAAAGAGAGAGAGAGAAAGAAAGGAAGGAATTAAAAGCTTACCTGAAGTCATTAATTTAGCACAGCTACTTTTGCTTGCATCATCTTCTAAGATTCGGTTTGTGCTCTTTTCTTTCCCAACCAAAGTTTCTTCCAAATGTAAGCATTTATCAGACCCAACACTGTCTTCACCAACTGCATGACTAATTTTGCTATTAGCTTCAAGTACAGAAGTGACATCTTCCAGCTGAGCAGCTTCACTAGATTCTGAATGAGAGGAACCCTTACCCTGGGCTAAATTCTTTGAAGAAACTGGTAGAGACTCATCATCACTATCAAATCCAAAAGGATCTCCAGTATTTTCTTCTTCCACCTTAGGTTTCTTCGGAATTTCTTGGATATCTGGTTTGAAATTGGGCCTCTTCTGCCCTAATTTAGCCATAAATGTTGTCTCTCCCCATTTTGTGCTAAGGGTGGTCCGTTTGTTAGAAAAGACTTCATCAAATTTTGAACTGCCATTTCCTCCTTTCCTACTGTAGGTTTTCCCAAATCTGGATGTCATTTTGACACCTGTTTCATATTCTCTGTGGGGGGGGGGGGGAAGAAAAGAAAATATACAATCACCAAACACTTAACAAGCGTTAACACTGAATATAAAAATAACCCAGGGATTCTCCCCCATGGGGGCTTTTCAACAGTCAAGATACAAACTTTAAAAATGGCTGAATACATACAGGGAAGGGGTATAAAGAGAAGGGCTCATTTTTTTATTCTACATACTTCCGTATCTAATTTTTTTTTTATAATGAGTACATAGTCATACACTTACAAAGTAAGCAAGCGTAAGGATTAATCAACTTATCCACAAAACCAACTTACGAGTGGAGTATCCATTTTTTTTTTAATTTCAAATGAATCTATGTACTATTCTCATAAATATCACTTTTACCTTAAGAAAATAATCTGAATAGGGTCATTACTCCTATAAAATCTTATGCACAAAATGTTAATTTTTTTCAGTATCTCAGAATTATCAAATAATTGACTCAATTAGGTCTTGAAATGTCAAAGCATTTATTCATAGGAGGGGGAAAAAGTGGGGAAAATGGTGCTACTTTCTTATGTATTAGAACCTGCAGCCTTTAATACAATCTTAAAGATCCTGATCCTTGGTCTAATGTAGTTTAAACTGTAACTTGAAAAATATTCTCTAGTTGGTCATCTCCCTAATCACAAAAAAACGTATTCTATCTTCTTTGTCTTCATCTGCAGAGTTACGTTTTCTGAAGCTGGTGAATTCCAGCATATTACACCAGTCTGCTGATTATTAAATGAAGCAACAGAAACCTGTAAATTTTCCTCTTTGCTTTATAAAGGATAAGTGGACTCATCTGTTGTTATCTACATAATAATAACAAATACTATAACAAAAAAAATTCAAAATAGTAAATCAAAAGAATAAAACACTTTTTAAAGTAACAGTACTTCTTAAACACTATCAATTCTTATCATTTCCTACACTTTGACCTCCTAAAGTTTAAATGTCAATTTATTAAATATACCCAAAAAAGATCACTGTCTAGATTTGGGGGAAAAAAGCTTCATAATTTGAAATTTAAAATATGACAAGTAGAATAATATTTGACTTCTACTCTTGAATACATTTTGGTCTATACTTTAAACATATTTTTCCTTTACTAACTTAAACTCTTACAACTTATGTCACTATAAACTTAGTTTTATGTATATTCAATAATGATTTTCCTCTCTCGTGTTTGGCTAGAAACCAATTCTAATTTGACAAAGTAATAACTTAGTCATCATACAGATCTGCATTAAGAAAAAATAGTGTGAAGACCTTTTAAAATGTCACAAAACTTTTTCCTGAGATCTACTGTAGATTGACACTAAAGAATCTTTGGCTTTCCTGTTAGGTCCAGTCTAAACAAAACTAAGTATATTTGGCAGCTGCAAGAACAAAAGAAAAAGTCATTTCATTCCTTCAAGAATTTAAAGCCCTCATCTACAGACCTACATTTACATGTACACCAACAAAGCTGGAACATTTTGTATACACTCACAAGGTAACCACCTAAAAATGCTGACTAAATGACACACCAAAAATTTAGACTTGAGCTCCTTTGGGCCCGCAGGAGAAAAACTGGTGGTCTTGCAGTAAAATGGTCTTGGAACCACAAAGCATTCACTGTTGCAAGTTGAAAGTCTGCAGATGAACACTTGATATGAAGGAGTTAACTATTTTAAGCGATAAGAAAATCATGCTTGTTTTTTAAGTGTCCATGTCTTTTACAATTATGTACTAAAATACTGATGAAATAATGTCAGCAATTCTCTAGCTTTAAAGGATGTGGAATGGAAAGTGTGTAGATGAAAAACACTCGGTTAAGAATTAAGAACTGTTGTATCTGAGCGGCAAATACATGGGAATTCATTATGTAATATCCCCTACTTTTGATTTATTTTATAGTTTTCCATGTCTGTTTTGTAAAGTCAGTAGACATACTATCGCGATAACATTATTAATGCCTAGAGTGTAAAGTACGTACAAATTAGTGTAAGAGTGCGGACACAGTTGACACACTTTAAGTATATCTCAAGTACACAAGCTATCTTGCTCAGTCAGGCTTCAAACTCCAAAGACTTTCCTAACTAAAAAGGAAAGAATGATTCACAACTAAGTCTTTACAGTCGTTGGGCCCTTGCCTCTCTGCCCAAAACCAGGTCGAATTTTCAGGAACGTACGCTAGGATTAAAAAGTCCTCACACTTAACCCTCAACCAAGTGTAGCTTCTTTAGGACCCCCAGGGGCTTAGGGGCTTCCACCCAAGAGTGAAAGCCGGAAAGGATGAAGCTAACCACCTAGAGATTCTCACCTGGGGGCGGTCGGTGCACCGGGGGGGGGGGG